GCAGTTTTGCAGCTTTACCTGTGATGCCGTATTTGGTTAAGACAAAGGCATCCAGGCTCTTAAAATAAAGAAATGAATCAAAACAACAGTACATGTTATTGAAATAATAAAGCCAAATGATGTCTTATCAGTATTCTACTACCAGAATATGTTCTTTCCTATTATGCTTTGATGTGTCCAGAAAGGTTGTGACTAGCTAAGTGATCCTAAGTATGCAGCCTTATGGAGGCCTTCAGGATTACCTTCTAGGACCAGAGCAATGTTCACCTGGTCTACCATATGCACAAATCCAGGCACCAAGTGGTATCCTCTATTACTAGAACACACATCTTATAAGTAAGCTTACTCAAAGCAATCTCTCGATTAAAAAAGTTACCATTATTTTTCCTGGAAGCTTCTTGAAATTCTGATTGTTGCTGAGGTGAATGTCTTAGGAAGCGATTTTCAGACAGTTTCTTTGATGATTTCAAAGGAAATGGCTCAGATTCATTGAGCTCAGTTATATTTTCTGAAGTCTTAAGATTTGTTTCCTTAGGAAACATATTTGTTCGGAGACCCTCCTTCAAACTGCACTCTGAAGAAGGACTTTTCACTAGTGCTGCATTTTTCAATGCAATTTCGTCTTTATCTAGAAAGTTCCCTGGGTGTGTTAAATTCTTTTGCATGTTCACATTTATGCTATTTGCATATTTCAGGTTGAGCCAGCTTTCAGTAACAGTGCAAATGTCCTCCTTTGGTGTTGAAGTTTGATTTTCAGTTGTGTGGTTCTGTTTGTCCTCAGTAGTTAGAACTGTGCTGCTAGTTGGGGTGTTTGATTTTTGTTTGCCATAATATACAGAGCACTTGTGTTTCTTCTGAGAATGACTGTACGTTGCTGGACTCCTCTTTGCAGCGTTCTGGCTACGGCTGGTGGCTGTGGCCACAGTGGGGGAGCCTTTACCTTTTCCTTTATCAGAAGAGCTGTAATTATCTGTAAAGGTTTTGCAACTGCTCCTAGATTTGAAAGAAAGTTCAGATATTTATTGCATAAAGATTACATTGTTGATTAATTATTTTTTTAAAGGACATGAAAACAGAAATCACAAAAAAGTCAAAATACTGCTTTTCCCCCCCTGGAAACTAACTTAACTTTTTAACTAAAAAAAAAAGTTATCAGGATTTTTTAACTTTTTTTGCTAGTACACTGATGAAACTGGCTTCCATGAGAACTCTCATGCTTACTTGCCTTGAGTCTTTTACTGCATTCCCTCCATTCCTACCAACATGAATCCAATTCAAGCTTCTGGTGCTGGGATAGTTTACATATTTGCATGATACTTTCTAGGAGCTGTTGTTGGGTTTTTAACAAACCACTTCCAAGACCTAAACAGCACCAACACCATGTTACACAAAAGCCTAATTCCAGCTGCCAGTCCCAACCAGAAAGAACCACTGAATTCGTTGCCAAACACTAAATCAACACTTATGCAAATCTCACTCATTCAGCGGTTCTACCTAAATTAGGACCATAACTGTCAGAGCATCAAAGCATCAAGAGTCTTGCACAAACATGTAAGGGTTCATTACTTGTAAGATTCAGAGCTGATGATATCCACAGAATTGTTGTTTTGCAGCGCGGAAGGATTTGGATTTGGCCTCTGCCGTGACTTCATGAATTCTGTTAGAATGTACTGTGCTTGTTGAAAAGCTATAAGAATCACACCAAGGAGAGACAAACTGCAAAGTAGAAAAAACATTTGTAGCAAAAATAAGCAGACACGTACTCCTTAAGGAAAATAAAGCTGGAGTCATGCTCAGTATGTTAAAGGAATCATCCAACAACAATACAAAGAACTTCCAGTTAAGTGGTGATACGTGACCATTCTTAAAATTGTTAGAGTCAACATTTGTATGAGGAGGGACTGGCTCCACGTAGATTAATAAAATTTTCCACAATTCCATCCCTCAATACCCCTTTTAAAAGCCCTTTGTGAAGGCTGACAGATTCCAGATAATAAAATGCCTGGCATATCAGAGGTACAATTATTTCTAGCAGTGCTATGTCCTTTATAAGATTCTGGTACCTGGGACACCCCTTCTTTGTACATGTGTACTTCTTATCCTAAACTAAACTAGACTGTTCACGGTTCTCAGATTTTGCTTAAGGGCCAATCTTATCCATCTAGCTTTTTACCCATCTGGGTTGCAAAACTAGGTGACTTAGCAATGGACTGTTTAGAGAGCACCTATTTCTCTGATTTTAAAGGTAGATTATACACATTTCTCCCTTTAACAGACCCCCATGTAGTTCAAAATCCATGTATAACTCTTATAGAAATATATAGGTATAACTCTTATGCCCCCAAAATGTAACCAGAAAGCATAAACCGCTGATTGATTCACACATACACACCATCTCTCTCTATTCCTGAGCACCAGTGTTCACAGCACCACCTATACTACCAAATAATCATAGCATGGGTATTCATTAGTGCCACATACACTAGAGAGCTTTTTGTAAGGGAAAGAAAACTGAGAAAGAAATGCTATAGTCACATTTCACAGAACATTTCTCTTAAAATGTAATTTAATTATTCAAATTTTGCTTAGGATTTGATCTGATATAATATTAATAATAATACATAACCATAATTATGTGCTATCACTTATGGTGACTCCCTTCCAGGGTTTTCTAGGAAGAGAGTACACAGACATTGTTTACCATTCTCTTATTTTGGAGCCATCCTGGGACTGTCCAGTTTGCCCATGACTACACAGGCTGGCTCTTCTGCCAGAAGGCTCCGTGGGGAATCAAACGCCCAATCTCTGGCTCTACAGCCAACTAGCTAAACCACTATCTAGCCAGCTAATTCTGACCGATGGAGATCCTTTTCACAGTTTTCTAGCTATAAAGTACTCAGAAGTGGTTTGTCATTTCCTTCTTCTGTGGACATCCTGAGTCTGTGCAGCTTGCCCAAGGCCACACAGACTAGCTCCTCTCCCTAGAGACACAATGGGGAATTGAGTTCTCAAACCCTGGCTCTGCAGCCAGATGCCTAACTCAATGTTAGTATCAAATTGGCTCTGCAACCAGATGCCTAACTCACTGCTACTATCAAACTGCAAGTGTTTTGAAAATTAGAGGAGTACCTAACAAAGAGTACTGTAAGTCTCCAGAAAGATTCTTCCCAACTGGGTCCTGGTACCACATCTGCACAGAGGGGTAAAAGATGGTGGGGAAGGGTCACATTGAGGGTGAAGTGGAACTCAACACCAGCAGCAGTCACCAGGGTGAACTCACGAATAACCCAAGAAGAAGTGAAATCTGGAGTAAACCTGCAGCAAAACAGGACAAAAAAAATTAAAGCCAGTGGTTTTTTTTAATTGATTCCTTTTCTTATATTAAGAGTGGTCTTAACCGACCAGATAGGCGGGATATTAAATAAATAAATAAATGAATGAATGAATATTCCTGTTACTATATTCACCTGGAAGTTCTGGCCCTAAGAATTCATTTTCCCTTGTCAAGACTCCTGCTCTATTCTATCAACTTATGCTAGTATCATATATGTCACTTCTAGCACACTGGCACCACTCCTTTATATAGCTGTCCTTTCACAGTCATAACTGTCCAACTATACATTTCACTTGCAAAAGAATTTCATATATTCCATTTTGTTAAGAAATTATTAGAAGCCCTAAAATATCTAAATGTTACAGAACCTATGGCAAAGGAGTCACACCTTTTTTTTTGGCAAGGAGCTCTGACTACATTGCTGTTCAACAAGATCTGACCACACTATTGTTCTCTGTGGCTACAGCCAAATTGTGGGATCAGCAATTTGCTGTACCGTCTTTGTTCCTCCATCCCAAGCAGTTTCATGGCGTACAAGTAGCTTCAGTTTTGTTCCTGGACATTCCCTTTCCATTTCTGCACTGCTTACTCACACTAGGCTCCCCATGGTTCACATGTGAAACACTACAGAGAGATGCAACCATCAAGAAAATCCTATTCCTTCTTTATTGAAGATCACTGGGAAGGACAGTACCTGAGAAATCAAAACGGAAGGCCTGGGAATTTACAACTGCCTTTTCCCATCCCGAAGCCTGATAAACCATGCTGTTTTTAAAACAGCAATAGAAGAAGTAATTCTTGGCTAATATAAAAACTCTGAGTGTATAGGGGGGTTGAAAAAGGACTGGAAATCTTTTCTTTCCTGGTTAGGAGGTGGAGAGGAACATTCAGTTGAGTCATGGCAACCGCAAATGAAAATTATGGCTGCCAAGCAGCATCTAAAGGTTAACTGACTCTGAAAAACCTTTTGTTCCATTTGTGCAATGGTTGTCTGCTCTGCCTTGCACACAATATATTTCTATTCCTGTTTCAAGACATATTTTCTTTCCTGCTCAATTTGATAATGTTGGATTGGGCCACACCTGAACTGTTCAGAGAGGGATATGAAGTGATATTTAATTATGTATTTATGTACACCAGCTATGGCTATTTACAACCGCATCTGTTACCTTGTATGTTCTGCTATTTTTATGACTGTTGATTTAAGGAGGCGTGAAGCTCTTATTCATTATGGCAAATACTCATACATTTTTAAATGTATAGGGATCACAATTTATTTTTGCATGTCTTTGGCAAAGGAATCAGACTACATATGCCATGCAGTCCCATTCTTACGTCTGAGGAAGTGGACTTGTCCATGAAAGCTCACATTAAAATATAGCAGTTAGTCTTTAAGGTGCCACAACATGTTTGGCTTCTTCATTTTTTTATTTTGTTTTTGCCTGACACAAACAAGGCTACCTCTTCTAAAACTCTATCCATTCAGTAGTTTACTCCGGTTGGGACTAAATGGATTTAGATCATAACTTAATCACCTCTTTTGCTACTTTTCCTGCACTATGGGCATCTATAAGGTATAATAAAATCTGATGTAATACTCGTTGGTGTCAGATTGCAAGTGTTAGAGGATTTACCTAACAAAAAGTATTATAAGCTTCCTGAAGGATTCTTCTCATCTGGGTCCTAGGTGGAATTTGAGTGATGCAATAGGCTGCTCGTCTAATGCAGCTACCCTTCTTGGTCTTGGTCTAGAGTTTATGATGGTATAAATATGCCAATGATCTTTTGTTCATTTAGACTTATGTTCCCAGTTAAATTTGTAGCCAAGTGGCAAACTTTTAAATTGTATAACTAAAATTATGCAACTAGAACTTGCTAAACAGTAAGAAAACCCTCCCCCCATCTTTCAGTTTTATAACTGCCCTCCCAGAGTTATATTCCTGATAACCTTAAATTGTATGACTCTGATTAAAATAAGCATTGTCCAAAATGCCATAAATGTGCAGCTAGCAAAGGACTTTTTCAAGTTACCTTAAAAATACTATATACTGTACTACAGAATACTTTAAAGCAGTCATAGAAATATATATCTTATGAATGTAAAGATTCTTTAGTAGGAAAAAATTGGAAATTACTATTGTGGTTACATAACATATAAACATATTTAAAGCAACTATTATCCTTCCTGTTAAGAAGATAAACACAGTTTTAAAATAAGGGTTTTTGTTTTTGTTTTATCAATAGAAAGAAGCATATGCTTACACAATGCTAATCTCCCGTGAAGAATTTTGTGCCAGAAAAAAGCCCTGGCAATCAAGTACTTCAAACCCATATCCTTGGCAGTTGTACCCATTAATCTTCATAGAGTTTATCGTGATAGGAAGATGTCCAATATTTTCAACTTTAAAGTTTTTTGTGATAGATAAAATTTGCTTGCCATCTTTCAGTTCTGAAGGAAACAAAATCAACATTTAGTTATTTTTACAGTAGTCATTCCAAAGCACCTTGAGAGAGTGAGAAAGAGAGGGCAAGATGATGATTTGTAATACCACTTCATATGCAACATTTCCTCTGCATGGTGTAGAAAATGTATGCACCAATGTACACCATCAGTGTACAAACGACATACATATTTTACCTCAAGCATTCACAGCATCAATGACAGCTGTATGTGACAAAATACACATGAATGAGATATTATATGGGGAACATCCTTCCTCATATAAACCTGCCTGAATTTAAAACATAGGTTGCAATATTTGCAGTTTATTAGGGAGCTTTTTTGATAGCAGTACCCTCACATTTTCTACCCATGCAATTTCTTTCCGCTCAAACTCCAGTTATCTGCAATCTGAGATATTTTGTTTTATTTTGTGCCGAGTGGAAGCTTTCCTTTTTCAGGGGCCTTTGGGATCTTCATGTTTCTGTTTTTATTTATCTGCCCCATCACATGATGAAGGTCAGAGTGCATTACATATATGAAGCAGAAAATAAATGTGCAATTCTGCACATTGATGTACATGTCTTTTCTTCTAACCATGCACACTGCCCCTCCCCTGCCAGGCAGATTGTCACTCACGTCGCCTGCAGTCCATGAGGGTTGACTCTGGCACCTTAAATCGAAGGGATCCTCCTGCTCCTGGCAATCTTCCACCCACTTTCAAAAGTTCTCTGGCTCCAATACCTTCAACGTAAACCACATCCAGAACAGTCAGATTATTCCTGTAAAAAACAAAGAGTTTTACAATTGAATGTAAGGAAATGAAATGAAAATGACCTTCCTGCCATCTCAGTCAATAGCACAAGATACATGTATCCCCTAGAAAAACAATCCACTCTTGGCACCTTACTGAGACCAAACCCAATTTCTGTGGTTGAAGATAATTTCTACTCTTTATATACAACAAATCAAAGCTTTATGGAAGTCTGGAAGACAACTGTTGGACCATCCATATCAATTATTTTAATGAGAAGTGACTCCGATGAGAGAATAGAAAGGGGAGGCCATGTATTTCTTCCGATTCAACCAATGGATTATTACAAAGTCCTATAAACATTCACTCTATATCAGTGGTTCTCAACCTTGGGCCCTCAGATGTTCTTAGACTAGAACTCCCAGAAACCCTGGCCAGCACAGCTAGGGGTGAAGTGTTAGTCCAAGAGTGTCTGGGGAACCAGGAGTGAGAAGTCCTATGCCATCCTCTTGTAGCTGGACTGGCAACCAGACAAAGAAAAAAGCTGTTGCTTAGTATATCATACATAGTCCAAGGGTTTCAGTTGCCAATACCGTGACTAAAGCAGTCGTAGATAGAGAAAAGCCTAATTCTACCAAACATGGCAAAACCTAACCCCTAGTAGTCTGCTTTGCCTTACAAAAGCCTTCTGTTCATGATGCCTACCTTAGACTGAGTGTTACCTTCCCTGCATAGCAAGCAAGTCTTATGTGTAAGTCTGTTTCCTCATAATTGGCCCAGATTCATACCTAGAATAGGGTTATGCGGTCTGAACCCTTTGTCCCCTGTTACTGGTTTGATCCAAGTCAGATCCCTTCCTTTGAGCATATCCTTCTTTAATATTAGTGAAAATATGGGCAAGGGAAAAGTGCAATCCAAGTCAGAATTGGCCCCAAAAGGTTAAAGCCACTATACCCCTCTTCCTACTTCAGGGTACCAATGTGATTCAGACAGTGCATGCTGCAGCTTATAAAATGATGGTGATGATGATGAACTCAAGGTGAGAACTATGCAAGAATAATAATGTGTAGTTTAACGTTTAATATCCTTACATAGCTGATATTTTATGATTCAAATGGGGTTGCTTTTTCCACTAAGACAGACTAGAAAAAAGATCAACAGAGAAACTTTACATTGCTGCTGATGCAGCCATTAAAAAGACAAAAAGATGTAGCTGTGATTAAGCTGGAATTAAATTAAAAAAAATAAAGCATTTCAGGATAAAGAAAAAAAGTGAGTGATCAAAAATGCCTCTGTAGACTTGTTTTAGCAACACTGAGAAACTCTCTGCTGGCCAATGTCATATATGAAGTACTAAATGTTTGGAGGTTTGAATTATAACTTACTGTATTTTGTAGGCCCAGAAGAGCATACACTTGCAGGGTAGAAAGAACAAATTTCAACTCAGCTAAAGGGCCCAGAATATTCTTGGTCCCTCCCTATGAAGTATTTTTCATAACTCAGATATTGACTTCTATGCTCCTACATGTCTGTTTATCTTTTTAAAACCACCTTTCCTATTGGATATTATGTGTTTTCGGTGAGGCACATACATACCAAAACATTTTACATGCAAGGCAGGGTAGGCCCAAGGTGTCCTACAGCCTGAGATGGGAAGCAAAGCACTAACATCTCACATCATGTCTGACTCATCACAACCATGCATGACATCTCCCCAACACATACTGCTATTACATGCAACAGTGCATCCACCCAGACACCACGCCATGTCTGAGAGGCATGTACCTAATTACCATCTTGTGGGTGGCAGAAGCACCTTGGCGACCTCCCCAATATGGGAAGAAGGGAGAATAATGAAAACAGCACTGTCTGTCCTGCAGTGCTGTCATAAGAGAAGAAGGAAGCAAGGACGCAGTAGTGGGTGACATGGAAAACAGCTCTAACTAGAGAAGATTATCTGTTTGAATTTCTGACTCTGAATGTCCTGAAACTAAGACAATATGGAATGATTGACCTTAGAAATAATCTGTGCTCAAGCACAAGCAATTTTCCAGCTCACATCTCCCTACTGCATTCAAAAATTTGCCAGTTCTGGAGTGTTGCTCATTGCTGAAGCTTTCCCAAATAGCTCAGTCCTTCTTGGGCAGCAGCAGCCACAGCAGGGAGAGAACAGTGCATTTGCTACTCCCAGAAGCAACCCTCTCACTGGGCCTTGAAGCAGGTCCACTCCTGATGGTTTGCATTTTGCACAGAGTTTTAGAAGTGAACATGATATGCCTAAACTGAAATCTAAAACAAACATTTGTAAGATCCACAAAAATGCTAAGAAGACCTACCTGACCAATATAAGAGAAGTTACTCTTTTGTAATCAAGAGGTGTAAAGACAACACCAATTCTCTTAGTTTCTAAGGGCTGCAATTCTAAATGAAGGACCTCAGAACTAGATTTGATGTAATCATGATCCTCCCGCAGTTCATACTGGAAAACCACAATAAAAGCAAAACAACAGGATTACTACAATATCCATCTTGAACAAAAGAAAAATAATTCAACATTATCAATTAAACTGCTTTGCAAGAGGCATTTGTCCTCTTTTTTAATGCACCAAGAGAAAAACAACTAGAATTCCCAGTGAAACAATACATCTAACACTGCATAATTCTATTACAAGGAAAATGCCTTTTTCACAGACTCTTAATTTAGGAAGAACTATTTTTATTATATTTAAAGGAGATTTCAGTAAGGCTTAGTCTTCTGACCACTACATCTATCAACTGAGGTTGATTCCCTAATCTGTTAGTGTAGGACAGAAACAAATCAAGTACAAAACTTTCCTGAATTATCACTTCCATTATGAAAATGACACAGCCTAAAGTTTAGGTTATACTATCAATGGTGGATGAATGTGGAATATTCATTCGTAGATTATCCTCCTAGATCCTTACCTAGCACTTACCCAGCCTCTTTTTGTTGGTAGATGAAGACATTTTTGTTATTCCAGATATTTTAAGACTGTTCACAGCACTTCTAAACTTTAGCAGCATAGGAATCTGCTTTATATTTAGTTGGTCCATTGGTCTACTTAGACCAGTACTGGCAATGGCTCTCCAGAACTGCAGGAAAATAGTTTCCTAGCTCTATCTGAAACCCACTGGAAATTGCCATTGGAGCCCCATCCAACTAATAACCAGTTTTTACCCTGTCCAGCTTCTGAATTTAAATAAGATCAAGTATGTTCAGAGGCAGAAATTTCCTGTCTTGCTGCTGGTTTATTATGCTGCAGTACTTTTCAGCCTTTGATAATACTTTATCTTAGTTTTACTATGTACTGTTTTTATCACTGTACAGTATTTGATATTTTTAATGGCGGACATCCTGTTGCTTAGAATAGTAAATCCCACTAAAGCAGACTCATTGAATTATTGGAAATTTGGTGAATCAACTGCTCAGTTTCATTGATTCAAAGTGGCCTATTCTAACTGCAAGTTACTGAAGTAAGTCACAACTGGAGAAGATCTATGTTTTCTGTGGCTGTTTGGGATGGATAATGGCACTGAAAAATAGAACCAACATCGAGGTACTGCAGTTTCCAGTCCTGGGGATGAGGGAAAACAAAGCCATGCTCCAATCAGATATGGCATCTTTTGTTGGAATTCTCAGCCCTCTAGCCCTATTCAAGGCTTGGTTTCTGTAAGCATTAAAGGGAGCAAGGGGTACATGTCTGGCCTCCACTCCATTCCCAACCACCCTACATTGTTGGACACATCCACAAAGTAACTGCATTCAGCTGAGAATGTTTCCACCATTCCACATAGCTGAAAACTCTGATAAGGCAGGGCTTCTAATTTCATAGATCTCACCAACTTTGTCCAGCTAAATGCAGTTACAGCTCCTTTTCAGACCTGTGGCAGCATCTACTGGGATGTCAGAAATGGAGGCAGGGTTGGAATGCATGTCCTGGCTCTTTCTACCTGATCACAGAACTGAAGGCCTGGAGAGGGCTTCTGTATGCTAATGTCCAATACACATAGTCTGGAGAGCAAAACATAAAAGATTTAAGAGCTAGATTTCTGTGATGGTTCCCACCCCCAAATTCTTTCAGTAAATTTCGTCAGTATTTTGGAAACTGTTAAGGGTTCCAAGTCTGCTTTTCATTTAACCATTATGAAATCCAAAGGCCAAAATACAGATTCTGTAAAAACTGCCAATTCCTTTCATGCTTAAACCTATTTCTGCATAAACCACAAACTGAAGGCAAAATTAAGTTGCCAGAGAACGTTATCTTTTTAAAATTTTCATTTTCATTTTATTCAATTTACAGGTACTCTGAAGTTCCATTCCTTAGAGAGACAAACATCCATGAGACCAACAAAAGTCATGGCTTACCTTGTGAGTAAAATTTTCTTCTGTCAACCTGAATTCAGTGGTTGTAAAATTAATAGACTGTACATTCACATCAAACCTATACAATCCAAGACAAAAATGTGATGTATAAAAATACTAAAGAATTATACTGAATGCAGCCAGGTTTGAAAATGCGCTGATTTTACAGTTCTAATAAATGTGCATTACCCATAATAGCCTTATTCACACATATGCCTGGAAAGGTAAATAAGTGATGGGGAGGTAGGGCCACAAATAAACTCTTGTCCCACATCCTCACTCTACCCAGAAGTCACTCAAATCTCCACGTGTGTAGGGAAAAGTCCACAGAGGAGCCGATAAAAGATGACACGTTTTTAACTGACATAGAGATGCTAAAGCAGTCAAACAGCTCAATCTTTTTCCTTTACATTTAAAGAAGTTTTAGAGGAAACAGTGAAAGCCATTTTCACATATTCCCTCCATGTGCTAAGTGAATATATGGAAGCATTTGGATAAGACTGTGACCTCAGGCTCCAACTCTCACCGTGGCCCCTGTTTTGAGGCTGATGGAATTAGGAGGTGGGAGGACACATTAGTAACTGGTGAGGAGAACCAACTGTAGGGATAGAGGCAGCAGGATCACACACTTCAGCCCTCACCTCTGAAATCTGTATACCACTAGCAGTTATTGTGAGTGGGTTGTCATATGGAATCAGCAAATATATATTTCTTAATGAAGCCAAAGACCTTCTGCTTACTGATCTATGCACTACATACAAAAGTTAATCTTCTGCTAAGCCTACAGAGGCTGGGATTGGGAGGTGCGATCACACTTCCCTCCTTCCTGCACTTATGCAGTACATGTGGGCGGAACCTCTGAAAGGGACTATAGATTATAAAGGAAAAGTGGTATTCATAGTTGTATTCATTACCATTTGCTGAGCAAAGCCAATGGAGCTCTAGGATCAGGATAGAAAGACAGTGGCAAGACTTGCAACATCACTGGGAAAGATGAAGGATTTTTTAAGGTAAAGTATTTCACCTAAGTAAGATAAAACAAAGCAACATTAAAACACCATCCTTTATAATTCAATCTCTTCCCAGACCCACAATGTGCTGTTTTTGATACACACATTTTAAAGTACTCCAGTATTTGTGCTGCTCTGAAATGTTACGAATGCTTTAACATTTTTCTGAAATGCTTACAAATGATATAATGATTTTTCTTCCAACAATTCTGAATGTAACACACGAGAAAAGAAATTTCAACAAGTTATGCATTTGTATGAGCCTCTGCATATCCACAGCTATCACATACAAAGATTAGATGTTTGTGTGTATATGTGTGTGCTCTTTTGTGTTTTGGAATTCAGTTCCCAGCATTCTCCAAGAATTGTGTGAATTGAAGGGCAGAAATACAAATGGACACACCTTTAGCCCCTCCTCCAAAGAGGGCTTGTGTGTGATTTTCCAGAATTCTTGTTTCCTGTTGCTTCTTCTTGTTGGCTTTCTTTATTTTATTTTTTAAAAGGAAGCTGCTTGCACCTGCTGCTTGAGAGTCATAGTTCTTGGTGAGGTGCCTTCTATAGAGCTTAATGGGAAGTAAGACTAAAATTCCTAGGAAGCACTGCAACAGCTTCCTTTTCTTTTAAAAAAGAAAACAAATTACTAATGGGAAACAGGAAAGCCAAATGAGTTCAATGGTGGAGGTAAATCCCATAAAATTCATCCCCTGTGGCAGCTGAAACTGATGATTTGGGTTTCTGGGCTGTAATTCCTGAAATTCTGCGAACTGAAGTCCATAAATCAACTCTGGAACAGTCTCCCGTTAGAATCTGCCTGGCACGCTCGCTGGGTGTTTTTAAGAGCCAACTTAAGACCTGGCTCTTTAGGCAGGCCTTCCCTCCTGTCAATACTTGATTTTTACTTTTCTATGTTAATTTCCGTCTATACTATTTCCATCTTGAATACTAATATTACTGATTTAAATTGTTGTTTTTCATTGTTTTATCATATTCCTATTGTAAGCCGCTCAGAGCAGACGTAGTCTAAAAGGGCGGGATATAAATTTAATAAATAAATATAGAAGAGCACACCCCAATGATTACTGATCTCAGTTTAATTCTTCAGTTGTTATTTAATAGACGTGTGGTTGTGATCTTTCTCCTACATTTCTATGTAGTATAAACATTAACCTTCCATCTTCAAAATAAAATAGAAGTTGAAGACCATGAAGAATTCTTAACCCAAAAATATATTTAATAATGCATCCAGTCAAAATATGACCTCACCATGCTATTCAATGGTGCAGCTGCACTGAAGTTCAAAGTAAGACCAAATTCTGTAACCAAGTGGGGGAAGGACAGTGCAAGTGACTCTTCTTCAGGATTCTTCTGATGAGAAGTTTGAATAATTTCCCCAAGATTTCTCCTGTTGAGTTAATGAGAACAGAAATTATTCTAAAACTGAAGTATATTTTGATAGGCAATCTCCTATGAAAAATGTTAAAGTGTCCAGTAATTATATCCTCTATTTGGAAAAAAAATTAAAATGTTTACTTTGATTCTCATTCTTTTTTTAAAAAAAAATCTCCTGCTTAAAACACAACTTTATATTAAAAATCTTTTAAGTCTTTTGCTATCACAAATTGTTGCTGAGTTATCATTACTCTTAAAGGACATTAATGCAATGATTCAGGTTATTGAAATATTATTATTATTATTATTGCTGTTAAAAGTTTAGAATCTTTTTATAGCTTTGTTGTTCAAGGGTAAATCCCACCCCTACCCCAGGTGACTTTAAATAACCCACTGGTTTTATTACCCAGAAATACTTGGATAATCACAACCAAGGGTCTCTAGTGAGATCAGTGCTTTTTAGCTCACTCATACATGATCTGGACCCACAGATGAGCACCAGTGAAATGATTAAGGGTTTATTCAAACAGGCAGAATTTCTGAAACAAACACCACTGGTCTGGAGACTGGGCTTACCAGCATTCATGTATGCACTGCACTAACGTAAATCAGGCCTTTCAGAAATGCTATTTGGAGATATAATTCCCTATACAGTAAATCCACCATAGGCCATTTCTCTGATGCAGTCTGAACATTTTTTTTCTTTATTTAAGACATATGTATAGGCTTCCAAAGGGGAGCCTCTGATGTAGGAAGTAACTCTCTAGGACATGATGGAACACTAAGTTTCAATGTATGAATGTATTGTGTGCTGTCAAGTTGATTCTGACTTATGGCAACCCTTAACCCACCAGGATTTTCAAGGCAGAGAATACACAGAAGCGGTTTACAATTCACTTCTTCAGGGGACTTCCTGGGACTGTGCACCTTGCCCAAGGCTACGCAGGATGGCTCTACCTGCAGGAGGTACAGTGAGGAATCGAACTCTCAAACTCTGGCTCTGCAGCCAGGTACTCAAACTACTGAGCTATCCAGCCAGCACAAACAAGGCCTGATACAAAAAAGCACTTTCCTAGAAAAAATGAATAGGCATGGAAGTTCAGGGTGGGGTGGAAAGCAATGATTATGTCAGATGATGCCTCAGACTGCCTGGACAACAGTAAAAATACTAAAATGATCTGTGCTCTATCAGGTACTTTTAACAAAGCTTTGCTCCCTCTAAATAAGCCTTCAATTTATTGATGCCATCAAATTATTGGGAAAGCTACAACAAAAATAAATGTCAAAGAACCTCCAAAAAGATCCATCAACAGTAGTGAAATACTGTAGATATTAAAATGGCAAGCAAGCTTCAGAGTAAGAAAATGTAAAGTGATGCACACTAGGACAAAACAAATTTGACAAAACAAAGGACTTTCAGGTTGTTATGGATCTATGAAAATGTGATCCCAGTGTGCGGCTGCTGTAAAGAAGGCAAATTCCATGTTGTGTGTAATCTGCAAAGGAATCAAGGTTGAAGACAGAAAACAGTCTGGGAAGAAGGGGAACCAGCCTAAGTATTCATTTAATTATTGAGAGTATTTTAACACAGAGAGGTGTTTCATAAGAGGCCTAACAAATCCAAATTATGTCTCAATACAATGCAACACTATTTATTTTATTTATTTATTTACAATATTTTTTAGCTGCACCATTACCAGTGGCTTCTGGGCGGCGACAATGTAAATATAAGAAACGTCAAAAGCTTCACTGACAGGACCTACTGGCAGGCACTTCGTCAAAGCAATCCCCAGCAAACCCTAGAGCTAGTCCTGGTCAATGTAAATCTGTACCATATTTAAAATCTAGCAGGAGGAGTGGAGCAATACGCAGAGGTCAAATATGCCTTAAGGAAGAAACACACACTAATATAGTTTGTAGACTCAAGGGTCAGGAAGAAGGAAGCAGACAATTATATGGGCCACCCTTTCTCCTTTGATGCAGTTCAAGAACTGCAAGTATTACTTCATACTCCTCCTTAATGCAATACAGAACTAACCAGCTTAAGTCCCAGTTAGTTTTAACTACAGAAAACCATAAACCCATTTAGATCCTACAATAGACAAAACCAGATCTCTGTTGCCAAAATCAAGAATAGTGTATCTTCTACACACCTGCAAATTTCACTGTGTTTAATTTTTTGCCATTTTTCATAGAGTTCGTAGGCAATTTCAGAATCCACACTCCATGTAGAACTGTCCAAAGAAAGGCTCTTTTCCCAAAGAAGGTTTGCTAAAATGATAATAATTTTATTTATTGAATTCTATTGATAAATAATATTATTTTCAGTGAACTTTACTTGGGTTGCCATCTCAATTATCGTATTTGCCGGCGTACAAGGCGACTGGCCGTATAAGACGACCCCCCAACATTTCCACTCAAAATATAGAGTGGACGGCTCTGCTGCGGCGCCGGCTGCCCGGGGCTCTGCCCAGGCCTGCCCTGGAAGTTCATGGCTGGTGGGGAGTAGGGCGAGGAAGAGGGGAAGAGGCTGGGTGGGTGGTGGCAGGAGGAGGAAGAGGGGAAGCGGGTGGGTGGTGGGCGAGCGAGCGAGCGCGCAACTGGCTCAGTGGTGTGGGGCAGCGGGCAACCCGGCGGTGGGCTCTGGCCGCACAGGCATGGCTGGCTCTGCTTCCCTCCCTCCATCCAGACCGACTGCCTGCCTGTCTGCCTGCCTTCCTCCCTGGCCAGCGCGGCCCTGCATCACTTGCTCAACGGCGGCGGCGGCTCCTTCCTGGCCCAAATGAAGTGCACCCAGCGTACAAGACGACCCCCCCACTTGGAGGCATGTTTTTTGGGCCAAAAAAGTTGTCTTGTACGCCAGCAAATACAGTAACCTAATTTTAAGAAGGCAGAAAAACACACTCAAAACCAGACTGGCTGTTCAAAAGACTTGTTTGTACTAACAAATAGCTGTTGCTATTTATGTACAAAACCACATCCTCCTAAGTCTGTTAAAATATGCCTTCCTGCTCTTTTTCCTAATAGCTGCACCATTTCCTGGCTCCCGGTCTTTTTTGTTTTTGATAGAAGCCTTTCTGGGTAAAGAGCAGCCTATAAGTTATGTGCACCCACCCCCACGGATACATTTGTATCTTGCCAGCCAGCCAGTGCAAACCCCCTCCCACTTTTACGGTTATTTCCACTTCTGGAGGCCTGTAGCTTTTAATCTCCTGGCCTAGTGCAACAGGTGCAGGGTAGAAAACTGGCCTCCAGGCCTACCAAAGTTTGCTCCTGCAGACTATACTAGAGATGGGCACTTAACATGGTTCGGTACGGTTCAGTGGACTGGGCCCAAAGGCTTTGTGTGGACGCCCTAGATTCAATGCCTGCCCTTCTCTTGCGGGTACTCTGTTGGAATCAGCATCCGTTTTCCCTGCCCTGGCCTCCCCTCTGAGTGGGCCCCTGCAAGGAGGTGGGTGCAGAATCCACAGCACCCATGCAGCACCTGTGGGCCCGATCTTCCGACATGTGCAAAGCCACTGAACCACAGTAAGTGCCTGTCTCTAAGTCTATACTGTAAACTGCTCATTACGGCATAGACAAAAAGTTGCTGAATAAGCTGAACACTCAGAAAAATGAACATTTACTAAAGATATAGTCTTCTCTGTTCTTAAATGTTATCTGTTACAATAACATAAGGAAAGACCCACTTTTCTTACCTGCATGCGACATTCTCAAGGAACAGTATATGTCATGATGTGCTATAGCTTCAAAATGAACATCTCTCTGCTGAAAAACATTAAAACATTGTGAATCTGGCACTCCGTGCTCATTTTTAAAAAGGAATCTAAATATAAACAAGTATGCTAAAAGCATCTCTATGGCTGCTCTCCATCCCCTGAAATAATCAGAGAAAATAAAAATTTCAAGTTACTCTTCATATTACATAGTGATTTTTTAAAAAAGTGACTACTTTGTTTCTTCTGTTCATAGCATTTCTACTAGGAACAGAAGCATGAGAATTGAGATGTAATAACTGTATGACATCATGTACCACTTCTTAAACATGTTTTAAACACATCCTAATATAACTACTTGCCCATTTTGATTTGGATTTTTAAACTTATGGACAGCTACCTTGTTTTATGCCGACTTCTAAGAATCAGATTAATATTGGTCCAAACTCAGGTTTATCTTTGCACCCTATTCATACTAAAATATAATGCAAAATAGATTTAGAAGAAAGATGACAGGCTTCTTTAAGTCTGCATAAATTAATACTCAATATATTGGAAGAAATTCTTCCACTTTTAAATTGTATGGATAAAACCTTTCTAAAAATCAAATATCTTCTATAAGTGGTAACACAAATAAGTGTAATAACACTGTTCAACAAATTATATGCACAATTCAGTACCTGGGACAAAACAGAATAAATCTGTAGTGGTATTTCAAATATTACTCCAACATTTGTGCTCACAAAAACATTGGATAATAAACTTGTTACAGATGCTTGGGTGTGAAGTTTCAAGGAAAATGCATTCCAACAGCCTGGAGGTAGAGTTAAAGGATCCGTGAAGTTCATAACCTAATGGTAAAAATATTTTTAATTTTAAATTACAAATTTCAATTTTTAATGGTAAAAATATCAGCTCAAACTGACTGCATATATGGTACAACTGCATATATGTGCAAACATTACTTTAGTTTCTGTCTTTCATTTTTAATAACCCAAGAGTTCAGATGCCACAGTACAGACAAGACTAACACAATTTTTAAAAAGCAGTATAAAAAGTGGTGCCGGAGAGATCATTTTTGGATGGCTTCATCCTTTCCCACAGCTCTGCACACAAGAAACCTTTGCTTCCCATCTTTTGCCATCTTCAATCACAAAAAAGCTTTGCTCACAGATTTACTACAAACATTTGATAGTGTCCACTGGGAAGGGCTAGTTCAAATGCTAATTATGTGCGTACATCTTTCTATTTAAAAAAAAGGGAAAGGCTACGTACGTTCTTCGGTTCTGTTCTTACCGTGCATAAAATGCATGAATCTGATTATGCCTGCAAAATTTAGCATCTAAATATTCTCAAATGCTTGTGGGCAAGCACCTGAAAATGTATAGACAATGCCTTGAAACATTTCTGAAGCTGCAACTGGAATGGGAAATTAATCAATCCTTTCACTTATCAGGATTGGGCTTTTAACTCTCTCGTCTCAAAATCAGTACAAATGCAATCCCTTGCACATATTTACAGTGTACGTTGGTCACAAAATTTAACTATTCTTTGTAAGATGTCATTTAGTAAAGGTAAAGGTTCCCCTTGACGTTTTTTGTCCAGTCGTGTCCGACTCTAGGGGGCAGTGCTCATCCCGTTTTCAAGCCGTAGAGGCAGCGCTTGTCCGAAGACAGTTCCCATTGCCACGTCGCAAGCTTGACTAGGGAACGCCATTTTACCTTCCCACCGATGTGGTACCTATTTATCTACTTGCATTTGCATGCTTTCGAACTGCTAGTTTGGCAGGAGCTGGGACAAGCGATGGGAGCTCACTCCCTCGCATGGATTCGATCTTACGACTGCTGGTCTTCTGACCCTGCAGCACAGGCTTCTGCGATTTAGCCCACAGCACCACCAGATCCTTAAGATGTCATTTAGTTTTAGTTTAAAGTATACAAAATCAATTAAATAAAGAAGGCAGTGAAGTTGGGTGGGATGGGGGAGGACAATGCTTCACCATTCACTTTTCCGTAAGTGCTTTAATGCGACCTAAAATAAAAACTCACCTTCAGAATATCTTCAGTTTCTTTTGAAACATAGACATCATTTAGCATAATGTTAAAATCGAAATTGTTTGTAAACCATATAGACCAAGATGTTGAAATACTGTGATGTGGTTCTATGTGGAATACTGTTGCAAATGGATTGATACCAAGGTACCTATAGATAGAGAAAAGGACAGTGCATTTAACATGAAGGTTTCTTCTGGTAATGTGACAGAGACCTCCAACAACTAGCCATCTTCTTCTATTGCCCAAGAAAGGGTAGGGAATTGCATGACCTAAATTACTTCATTAAGTCTGATACTGTAGCCTTCTTCCCCAATTCTGTCCCATGGCCAAGAACAAGGTTTTCAGTTCATGGAATAAGATGAGGGAGCAATTGCAGGAGGTTTTTAATATCTACTGTCATTCACCTCATTGCCTTATGTCTTGTATGCATCATCAAATACACTATCTGATGTCTGCCTCCATAGGTACAACATCTGGTCTCTTTTCCCTCCAAGCACAGATTTCAGATACCACAGTATGACATCAGATCCTTCAGAACCCTCTGACCATTAACCCTGAGTTCCATGGTGTGGTGCCCAAGCCTCCCTAAGGAGCGCTTAGCACTCGGTCAGAGAGCTCGACAGGCCACTTACCTATCACCTTTGCACTGAGACAAGTCCCAAGACCGCAGCAGTGCGCAGCAGTGCATAGCGTAAGCCCCTTGAACAAGTCTGACCTTAAAAGAACACTTTACTTTTATCCAGTACTTTGCAAGTACAGACACATGGGTTTTGTGATTCCTTAGAATTCACAACAGCTCAGTTAGGTAGGACTATAGCTAGTTTGTGGCCCTCTCCACCTTCCTGGATTTAGCCAGACCCTGCTGTTCAAGAGACAAGTCCTTTATAAGAACTGTTATAATTATTTTGTATTTGAAGAATAAGAGTTTCATAGAATCAGTTTATATTGCTCAAGCTTTAGCATAAAGAACATATTCAAAGATTATTACAGTTAAATAAAATAACTAATCCCCATTAAAATAAAAAAAACTATAAAGCTGGGCTAAGGTGGGCTAGCCCCACCTCCTTCTTTCTCTTTACTTACATACTTTCTCCTTCAAGCCATATACTCAAACCATCAAGTTCTTTCTCTCTCGAACCTCTCCCACATAACCCATCGTCCATTTTCTACGTTCTCTAACTCCTCCCTTCTTCTTGACACTTCATGGCTGGTAACCAATTAGCCTCAAGGAGCTGTAACACCTTCCTCCACCCTCATTTCCCATGAAGATCCAGATGTTTTATCTCTTCTCCAATTAGCCCAGAATGTTGAGTCTTTCACGGACCTTCAACTTTATTTCGAACCACATTGTACTGGTCTTCACAAAAACACTCTCATAGCACTTAAACACATTCCAAAGTCTCTCAAATCATCAAATCATTACAGAACCTATCTGTCTTTATCTTATATTTCGCTGACTACATATCCCATGCTGCTTCAACTCCATGAAGCATGGTCATCAGGTCTAATAATTTTTTGCCTAGATTTTTTTCCACAGGCAAATTGCACCCTTGCTGTCACTCACAAACAGCACCTGAAGATGTCGCTCATTCCAGAGGCAGGACTCCTTCTGGCTAGGCTCAATGGCCAAAGCCTGTACAGAAAGTCATAGCTACCATGGAAATTTTAAAATTTAGCCATGATATCAGCTAGCTAGGATGGCCAGCACCTGCCCCAAGCCCAGGATGGATAAAATCAATGATTTTTTTAAAAAAAGCAAATTGAATTAAATCATGGTTTAAATTTTAAAAAGCAATTTTAGAAATTTAAATTGTCAAAAAATCCCATTTTTAAAAATCAAATCCATCTTGTCCAAACTTAATCCAACAAAACCACATGCTGGTCAAAACTGGTAACAACTCTTGGTCCTGCTTTCTTCAACACAAAGCAGAAGCCACGTTGGAGTGTTTTGAGATCAGCTTCCTTTCAATTCTGTTCACATTAAGGAAGCTTTAAGTGCAATGGCTATCTTTCTCAGTCACCAAAGACTGGTTTCAAGGCTTACCAGCAGGTTTTGCTCACCAGCGTACTGGATTTCCTTGAGAAGCAAAGATAGTTCTTTTGTCTGTTTAACAAGAAACCACGATCATGGTGGTCTGCTAAGGCCCTTCCATTCCAAATTTGTGGTGAGTGTCTTGGTGGTGTTCTTCAAATCTAGAACTGCTTTCTATTTGCTCCCTTTCTTTGAACAGACACTTGAGCATCTTTCTTCATAGGGAACAAATGTTTAGCAGTAAGTGGTTGATGGCTGGTACTGTTAACATTTTGTTTTGCTTACAATCTGGATGCTGGGGACAACATATACTATACCTATCTCTCGGACTTATGTGAAATGTTATGAAGCAGCTCTCTTTGATTATGTGATTATGTCCTATCATTATATGATAGAAACCACGATCATGGTGGTCTGCTAAGGCAAAGGGAAAAAAAAAGCCCTTCCATTCCAAATTTGTGGTGAGTGTCTTGGTGGTGTCCTTCAAATCTGGACCTGTGAGTTGATAGGCATCCATCTGAGGACCATAATCTAATACTCTGTATTTTTTTCTATTTGTGCTCCGGATACAATAATTGGAAGTTAACCTCATTCCAGAAAAAGACCATCCCCAATTTATTCATGTTAACTAGAAGTCAATTAGTGCATCTAAGTGTGTTCAGTTTGAATTACAGAAAACACATTTTAACATTTTTCCTTTAGCACACCTTTTAATGTTAGCATTAAAAACTTACCCTTCCATCACAGGATGGGAAAGACAAGCTTTTGGTAAAGTTGTGCTTTCCAACAGATTCCTCTCTGCCTTAACATCATGATTGCTTCCCAGGCCACATAATGCACCTACGTCAAGGAAAAATGTATCTTTATTCAGCATATCTTTAATCTACAGTCTGAGGATGTTAATGGCTTGTGACGAGAATATTTGCTGTAGTTTTGACTCAAATAAATGTAAATTTGATATATTTTACAAATCAATAATGATATATTTGGAATGGGGTATGTGAAATCCTGAAACAAAAAGAAAAGCTTGGGAAATCAGATGAAAGTGAGCTCTAACATTTATTTTCCCTTCAAATGGAATTTTTTATGCAGAGAGACAAAGGAATGGAGGTGAGGTCTTCTGAAATATTTCTCTTAGTATGGTGAATGAAATGCACATTGATGTTAACAACATTATAGAAAATTTATTCTGCCATAAAATACTTCAGATTCAAAATTTTAAAATTTAGGGATGCATCTATTAAAGCGGACTCTTGTCTACAATATCTTGTCTACATATCTGGTACCATTAACATTATGCAAAGATTTGCCCTCAATGGAGACTTGGACACTTCAGAAATTACAGAATGCTCTGGTGCTAACTGCAACTTGGTAGTCAGAACCTTTTATACCAGTTTTGCCAAAGTTGCAATGGACACTGATATTTCTGGGCACAGTTCAAAGCACTGGTTTTGAGCTGTAAAGCGATAAACAATTTGGGACTGGCTTATTTGAAGAATTGCCTACATCTAGATTGATTTAACCATTCTCTGAGCAATCTGAGAACCATAACTGGGGCTCCGTGCTTTGTAGCCTTCTCATGAATCAGTTAGGGTGGTGTGCATAAGGAAAAGGACTTTCATAGTAGTGGTTCCGAATCTGTGAAGCTCCCTCCCAAGGGACATGTGGATGGCACCTTCAAAAGTCTTTCTAAACACCAAGAATGGAGATTGAGATATTCTAAGTATTTTTTACATTGATCTCATTTAATTGCATATAGTGCTGTAGTATTAGGAAAAATCCTGTTGCATAACTTTGCACAGGCATGACTTAGGCTGGGTATTGGAAACATTTACTTTACACTACTTGAAAGCCTCCTATCCCCATATTCTAGGTTCCAAGGCTTCATAGGGCCTCCCTAGGGTACCTTGGGACAGTGGAGGAGCCCTTTAAAGACAAAAATGGCCATTGCTGGGATCAGGAGAATCACTGGCAGTGATCAAGTGGCAATTTTTTACTATTAAAGGTCTCATCGCCACCAAGACTTTGCTACAGCTGTGAAAGTTACTTCATTTTAGATGTTTTATATTTGAAATCAATGATTTTATTGTTTCAATTTTGTGGACATGTTGAGAAACCTTTGTCTGGAAAAATGGACTAAAATTGCTTGATAGATATACAGCAGGTCTGTAAATTCTTTCAGCCTAGATGAAGGCCTTTTCTTTATCACCTTCTAGAACCCATGCACCCCCTTATGTGATAATGAAAATAGGTGGTTAATTATTCAGCAACAGGAGATCTCTATTTCAGTGCTGTTTCTCTTGTATGTACAGCCCTATTAAATAAATACTGTACCTTTACAAAAAATAGAAGCAACTTTTGTGAAATTCATGGTCAATGATGGCAGCAATATTGGCTCAAACTGCACTGAAAATGTTCCTTCCTGTGACAAGTGTTTTACATCCTGCAGACAAAGCACATAATTACTATCATACTATTATTGCTCTAGTTCCTGTAAAAACTCATTGTCATGGCAAATTTAAACTGGAAATAACGGCAATCTGTCACATCTCCACTAAGGACAATAATAAACTGTATAGTAATTTAATTCTATGCAAACAGGCCAGAATCCTGTCAGCAAGCTATATTTGAAGGGAAATAATGTTAGTGTTAGTGGCAAATTGCTGCTCTTTAATAAGCTGCTGGTTGTGTTCCTGGGTATGTGTCTTATTATGCAGTTAGGAATGCAACTGAGTCTTTAATGAGCAGCAATTTGTCACCAAAGCTTGTCATCTATCAAACAATGCTCTATGCAAGTGTAATCTGCCAACAATATCCCAGTCATTATGTTTCCATTTATATGCACTATTGAAAACTAACACTGATCTATATTTCTGGGGTTCTTGCACAATTTTAAAAGGAATCAAAACAGAGACATCAGTGAGTATCATGTTAAGCTTGTGCTGAGCTCAAAGTTCTCACAGCACAACCACTGCTACTGTGTGAGAAAAACAAAGGTCTTCTTCATGGAGATAAACCACATGCCCAACAGCAACATTTGTATACAATTTCATGTTACTATGGTGCTGATAACTTCAACTCAGCAGAATCTCAGTAAACTGGCCATGTAATCACAACTGCAAACACTAGTAATATTTTGTTTCTTCCTCTCTCATGCACAAAATAGGAAGACTGATCCAACATCTAATGAGGTCTACTTCTGTACCTACTGTTTCTGTATTTTGACGCCACCAGCACTAAAAGTCTCAGCACAAAAGAGAATGAAAATAATACCACTTCTCCCTCTCTCCTTCTGGACAGAGAATCCCATAACAGGAATACAACTCCCTCCATCTCCACAATCTACAACCAATGGCACATCAGGGTGTTGGCTGATTTGACATCGAGGCACACGAGTCACATGCATCTCAAAATGGAAATATATATACTGTATATATATACTCTTTAATTAGTGGCATCCTGCCGTTGCTGATGCCATCACTCCTATCACAGAGGAAGAGCTATGCAACTGCCTTGATTATGGCTAGTGACTTTCAAATGCCAGGACCAGCCTTTAAATATACCTTCTGTTATTCAAGTCATGGGATTTTTGGATTGTCTTTCTTCAATTCAAACACACAACTATTCTTCTGGATGATCCTGGACTTAAGTTAACACAGCAAATGCAAGCTCAGTTGCTTTCACACAGGGGAAGCATGTAGTGTTCAAGTACATTAACATATTCTTTGTTTGTAGGGTGTTTTTAATGGAAAATTCTACAAACTCTCTAACTACATCTACACACCCATACCCATAAAAATAATTACCTGAACATATAAAAAGTTGTTCCCTGAATGCAACACATACAAGATTACTGGAGAGTCATCTGTTCAAGAACAATAAAAACAAAATCAAAAGTCAAAGGTCCGTTATAGTTTTATGCACATAATAAAAATTGTGTATAACTAAAAAGTACGGGTAAACATATTTTGGACCTACCTGAGGTCTGTGTTTTGTCCATTGCTACATAAACTACAAAAAATTTTTCCAGTAGGTATTGTCTAAGGTCCACAAATTCATGTTGCACATTTTCCATTCTGACAACTAAGCTTATTTCTAGCAGCAGTACGCCACTTGAAGCAAAGCAGCAATTCTAGGGGCAAAATAAAAAGAAATTCCAAAAAATAATTACAAGTGAACAATCAAGGATATTTCATGCAAAATCACAAGTCTCAGTTAGCAAACTTGACAGCCTAATGGCAATTATCCGCTGCCCTGTTTTTGGTATTATTAAGTCAAGGAATTTTCATCTGGGATACTCAAGACACTTTAAAGTAGGTCAGGAAATATTTGTCTGGCAGTGATGCACAGCAGTGGGACAACATGGTAAATATTTGCCTCCGCATGATCTGAAGCCTGGAAGTACTGTCTCTCAGCATATTTTGTACTGGAAGTACAAATACATGATTAAGCAGAAAAAATAATTGTGATTTATATACACAGGCAAGTACAGATACAAGAGGGCCATCTGATATAACCAACTAGAAATTTATGCTAAAAGTCACTCAATCAGCATGATTCAGAAAATTAACACTTATGTTTAGAGCTGAAGTAATAAGCTAAGGAAATCATCTTGGGAAACTAGCTTCAGTAGGTGAATGAGGCCAGCAAGTTTCACAGTTCTCAAAATTAATGACAATCCATTCCCCAACTGTACAATGCAAATATGTCCATCACATATCTAAAGAACCACAGGAAGGAAGCTATCCTTTTCATGTGTGTTCTGTTCAAGTTGGAACCAACTTATCATGATCCTAATGGGGCTTGCAAGATAAGTGAAACTTTTAAGGAGTGGTTTTACCAGTTCTGCTCCCCCAAGTGAGTTTCCATGGCCAAGTAGGGATCTGAATGCTGTTCTCCAGAGTCTTAACACATCACTCTATCCACTACACTGCACTAGGAATCCTTGTTTTAAAGGAGGAATAGTCTAATAGTCCCAATTATCTTAGCAGACCATTTAACTGGAATACCTATTAAAGGTTTCTAGCAGACACACAGATCTAGTTGTTACTTGGGACTGACCTGAAGTTGTTATAGTTGCTTATAAAGCCTAAACTGTCCTCTGCAACAATGGAACAGGAGAACTGTTTAGCCAGCATTTTAATTAAATAGTATCCTTTAGCTGGCCATATGAGCAGCAGGATTTATTAACATTAATGTTTTAATGACTGTTTTAATATAGGATACTATTATATTGCCTCTTTTTAATGTTTTTAAAGTTTTAATATTACTGTACACCGCTCAGAGGCCATTGCTAATGGCACGGCTAAAAGAATCTTGTACATAAATACATAAACTTCCAGTTCACTAGCTTTTTAAAAACAAATGTACAAAAACTTAAGAATAAACATATACTTCATACCTTAACATGTTGATAAAATCTGTTATGTAAACTGCACTCAAGACGAACTTTTAAGTGACTGATGTTCCTAGTTTCTGCCTGAGGATAAAAAAGAAGAAAGAAGTTCAAGAAATGGAAATCTAGAGGGAAGTAAGAGGAAATTGGTAATAGTTTAATGTGCACAATGGCATGTGCTCCCATATGGGGATCAATGGAAAGATGTCTCCTCCTGAACAGAACCACAGGCACCGTTCTGCACATATGAGAAACCTATGCCTCTGTGTGATAAATTATGAAGCTGATGCCATGTACAGATGGCCTCAAGGGAACACTTCCATAGATGATACGTTTTTAGTATATGTGCTCATCTCAGAAATAATGCTACACAAGATTTTGCCAAATTAATATTAAGAGACACTGGAGTTTATTGAAATCAGAGAACATTTCATAAAACTCTGTCCTCTGTATCTTAGGTTGGTTGCTGGTTGCAGTTCGGAATAGATAATTTGGTAACAACTATGCAGCACAAGTATGTCCATTCATGTTTATATAGTGTTTTTATTTTAACATTTCTTTTCTAACGTATATAGGGCACTTTGTGTTCCCAAATCAAGCTTTGTAGGATGCCTATAGAGCATAACAGAACAAGAAAAAAATGCATATCATTTAAAAGGCCGATTATGACACTAGCACTGCCAAATTAATAATAATAACTTGCGCTGATAAGTTGATTCCAGGGTTTTCAAGGAAGAGAATACACCAAAGTGGTTTGCCATTCTCTTCTTTTGCAGGCACTTTGGGACTGACCACCTCGCCCAAGGCCACACAGGCTGGCTCTTCTCCCAGGAAGTACAGTGGAGAATTAAACTCCCAACCTCTGGCTCCGCAGCTAAATATCTAAACTGCTCAGCTCTCCAGCCAAAAGCCAGCATACCATTATTCATTTCGTTTTCTTGTGCTATGAGATTTCCAGATTTCCACAAGGTGGAGCTATCACACATTTAATCTTACCATTTACACTTTCTGATTCATTTTCAAAAGTGGACCTCACCACTTTTGGAGGTAAAGTTATACCTTAGGTTGAAAACATATGCCAATTACGGATTTTGTTACAAGTTATGTTTTTAAAATTCTGTGGATTGAAGAGTGGGACATATTATTTCATGCCTTGTACCTCCTGAAACACTCTTTTCCAACATAAGAGGCAACTCTACACATGGAAATCACCAGATGGGCAATAGTGAAATCAGATTGATTATATTCTCTGTAGCCAA